TACATGGAGATCATATCCCCTTTATGTATTATACATGGAGATTATATCCCACCTTATGTATTATACATGGAGATCATATCCCCCCTTATGTATTATACATGGAGATTATATCCCACCTTATGTATTATACATGGAGATCATATCCCCCCTTATGTATTATACATGGTGATCATATCCCCCTTATGTATTATACATGGAGATCATATCCCCCCTTATGTATTATACATGGTGATCATATCCCCCCTTATGTATTATACATGGAGATCATATCCCCCCTTATGTATTATACATGGTGATCATATCCCCCTTATGTACTATACATGGAGATCATATCCCCCCCTTATGTATTATACATGGAGATCATATCCCCCCTTATGTATTATACATGGTGATCATATCCCCCCCCCTTATGTATTATACATGGTGATCATATCCCCCCCTTATGTATTATACATGGTGATCATATCCCCCCCTTATGTATTATACATGGTGATCATATCCCCCCCTTATGTATTATACATGGAGCTCATATTCCCCCCCCCCCCCTTATGTATTATACATGGTGATCATATCCCCCCCTTATGTATTATACATGGTGATCATATCCCCCCCCTTATGTATTATACATGGTGATCATATCCCACCTTATGTATTATACATGGAGCTCATATTCCCCTAATCCCCTCTTCTCAGTAAAGAATAAATTCAGTTCCTCTAATCTTTCCTCGTAGTTGATCTCTTCCATGCCTCTTATCAGTTTGGCTGCCCTTCTCTGTACTTTCTCCAGTTCCCCAATGTTCTTTTTGTGCCCAAAACTGAACTGCATATTCCAGATGAGATATTACTAATGATTTGTAGCGGGGGAAACGATATCTCTCTGGAGTCTATACCTCTCCTAATACAAGAGAGGATTTTGCTAATACAAGAGATGATACAATACAGGTGGTGCTGTCCATGGTGTACAGTAGCCTGTCTGAGGCAGGGCTGAGACAATATCAACAACGTTATAACTAGATCACTAGAGTGCCCCAGTTCTAGTGAACCTTCCCCAGTGCCTTTCTCCCACAGCCATCTGACAGCATGGATAGCAAGGGGACTGATGCTTGACAACTGGAGCTGATCTCATCTGGGACAGGCAGCAGTAAGAAGAATGCAGAGGGTGACAAACCTCACACCAAATGTTTTATTTAAAAAGACAAAAACACAGAGGTTGACAGAGAAAAGATTTAATAAAAAAAAAAAGAAAAAGAAACATTTGTTCTTCAACTCATTATACCTTGTGATCCAACTGCTGCTTGATGATCGCAAACCTCAACCTGGCAAATGAAATCACACATCCTTAAAGAATACATTCACCTTTGGGAACATGTTACATGCTTCCCAGGTTTTAAGGTGGAACACGTAACATGTTGCTACTGCTGTATCCTCTCCCCCATCTACTGCCACCAACGACAGCGAGCCGTGAATCTTCTCCCCAATCTGCTGCCTCTAACGACAGAGATCCGGAAGTCTTCTCCCCCCAATCTGCTGACGCTAACGACAACGAGCCGGGAATCTTCTCCCCAATCCGCCGCCGCAAACGACAACGAGCCGGGAATCTTCTCCCCAATCCGCCGCCGCAAACGACAACGAGCCGGGAATCTTCTCCCCAATCCGCTGCCGCAAACGACAATGAGCCGGGAATCTTCTCCCCAATCCACTGCCGCAAACGACAGCGAGCCAGGAATCTTCTCCCCAATCCGCTGCCTCTAATGACAGCAAGTCGGGAATCTTCTCCCCAAACTCACTGCCACAACTCAACCCCATTAAGACCAGGCCTTCAAGTGGCTTTTCTGACACTTTTTGTTTACATGTAAAAAAATAAATCAGTATCTTTTGCAAGAAAATGACTTAGAACCCCCTAAAATTATATATTTTTTTTTAAAGCAAAGGCCCTAGATCAGGGGTGTCATACTGCCTTCCCTCCAGCTGTTGCGAAACTACAAATCCCATCATGCCTCTGCCTTTGGGAGTCATGCTTGTAACTGTCAATCTTGCAATGCCTCATGGAACTTGTAGTTTGGCAACAGCTGGAGGGCCACCAGTTTAACACCCCTGCCCTAGAGAATAAAACGGTGGAAGTTGCTTTTTTTTTGTGCAACGGTTTTTCAGTTGCATTTTTTTGCGGAAAAAATACACTTTTTGGAATTGTAATGCACAAAGACACGATACATAACTCAATTGTTTGGTAAAATATAGAAAGATGATGTTACGCCGAGTAAATGGATACCAAACATGACACACTTTAAAATTGTGCACGTGCTTGCAACAGGGAGAAATGATGCACATTTTAACTATAGGTGATGTTTTAAAAGCTCATACAGGTTATCATTTTAGATTTACGTCCAGCGAAACCGGAAATGATGAAATATTCATTTCTTCTGGTTTCCTAGACCATAGAGCTGATCGGAGCCAGTCTAGTCTCTGATCAGCTCTATGGTCAGCCGACAGGACTTGTGCCTCCCAGTGGGACGGAAGAGCCTCAGAAGGTGGCATCGGGGAAACATCCCCTTCCGCTGCTTGTAAAAGCAATCCAGCAGCTAATTAGCAGACTGCCAGCTTAAAAACACCCAATACCGAGATAATGCGTGCAGCTGCAAGCATCAACCCAGTATAACCACTCAAAGTCCAGCGACATACTGCTATGTCACTGATCGTCAAGTGGTTAAAAAAAAAAAACAAAAAAAAAAAACAAAACAAAACAAAAAAAAAATGGCTGTCCGTGTTATTCACTCACAGAGTTCTGTGAATGGAATAACTACAACTACTGTCAGGCTTTGCGGGTGACGGCTGGTATTTTTCAATGAAGGAAATTCGTTGAAGGTTCCTGTCACTGTGTAACTGGTACGAGCAGACAACTTACAGTGACAGTCTGCAGGAGCCATGCATTGCACCCATGATCTGTTGATCGCGGGTGCAGTGCTTTACAAAATCCTAATAAAAAAATAAATGCACATTTATTTTTTACCTGCAAAAAGAGGTGCATTTATTTTTAAAATGTGAACTTATCCTTTAACCTCTTGGCACCAGTCGAACGCAAATGTGCGGCCTCCCGGCGTCTGGGCCTAGACACCGAGTGGCCACACATTTGCTATTAAAAAACAAAATTAAAATCTGCTGAGAGCGTGCGCCTCGCGCGCTCCCAGCACACATGCCCGGTACTCACGGAAAGGTCCCGATCTCCTCTTTTGATCGGAACCTTTCCCGATCATGTGACCGCCGTGATGGCGTGTCACATGACCCTAAACTCTGCCCCACCTCCTGAAACCCTTAAAGGGCTGGGAAGCGCTGGGGCCAAGGGGTTAAAAAAGTTTATATAGTTACAGTTAGTCTGGCTGAAAAAAAGACAAAAGTCCATCCAGTTCAATCATTAAAAAAAAAAATGAAGAACACATTCACCTTTGGGAAAATGTTACATAGTTAGTTTGGCTGAAAAAAGACAGAAGTCCATCCAGTTCAACCATAAAAAAAAAAAAAAAGAAAAAAATATATGTCCCATCACAGGCACGAGTCGAGAAAACCTTTTTTTGAAGGTGGATAACAATGCAATAAAAAAGTTGCAAGGTCTATTTTCTATCTTCTTTTCCTATGAGTACTCTTGTTATGAAGATAGTGGGCCTAATGAACGTGGGCTCTGCTTACAGAAGAGCTAAGAAAAAAAAAAAAGTGCATTTATCATTATTTTTTTATTCTCTAAGGAGCATGCAGAGCATTGCACCCCCCAATCAGATCACGGGTGCAATGTCAGGCTTCTGCAGTCAGATCAGGGGTGCAATGTCAGGCTCCTGCAGCCAGATCAGGAGTGCAATGTCAGGCTCCTGCAGCCAGATCAGGAGTGCAATGTCAGGCTCCTGCAGCCAGATCATGGGTGCAATGTCAGGCTCCTGCATTCAGACCATGGGTGCAATGTCAGGCTCCTGCATTCAGATCATGGATGCAATGTCAGGCTCCTGCAATCAGATCATGGATGCAATGTCAGGCTCCTGCAATCAGATCATGGGTGCAATGTCAGGCTCCTGCAGACTCTCAGCATAGCTGTCTGCTCATAGGGCAGTTATTATTATTATTATTATACAGGATTTATATAGCGCCAAAGTTTGCTCAGCGCTTTAACTGAGAGCAGAAAGCTCACTAGGCTACCAGAGCGCTCACCAGCGCCCTCACAGCTCATTGAGAACTACAAGCCGTCTGCTGTAATGGTTAATGGTACTTGTAGGCATTTTTTTTTTTAACAGGAAACTGTGAATGAATGACGTGGCTCTGTGGGCGGAGCTCCGCAGGGCTGCACTGCTTTCACATTGTGGAAGATCCTGCACCCGCTGTCACAGGGAAGGGGGATTGGCCGTGCAGGGAGAAGATCCTGCACCCACTGTCACATGGAAGGGGGATCGGCCGTGCATGGAGAAGATCCTGCACCCGCTGTCACAGGGAAGGGGGATCGGCCATGCAGGGAGAAGATCCTGCACCCGCTGTCACAGGGAAGGGGGATCGGCCGTGCAGGGAGAAGATCCTGCACCCACTATCACAGGGAAGGGGGATCGGCCGTGCAGTGTGAAGATCCTCCATCCGCTGTCACAGGGAAGGGAGATCGGCCGTGCAGGGTGAAGATGCTGGAATATGGCTCCATTCTAAAAACGGAGGGAACATGAAACATGCTCCAAAGGTGAACGTTTCCTTTAAGCCTGGCAACTATTGGCTTAGATGCCCTGTGGAGGAGAGTCATCTGCTCTTGTGGGCAAACAAACAGAAGGTTCGATGGCAGGCAGGCAGGCAGTAGGGTGATCCTGTTTCTTTGCCCTGCGTGTGCAACACAAGTTCACATATATGGCTTATGCACATTCCTTGGTGTCAGACAGTGACTGGTTTTTCAGAAGCCTTCCCGCAGTCAGAAAAAGGACTACTACTATCGTGACGTTCCCAATGCTGAACCTGAATTAGGCTTTGCTCTCAAGTGACTCCTCTGATGGACGACAAGGTGGCTGTTTCTTGTAAAACATTTCCCGCACTCGAAGCAAGAATAGGGCTTCTCCCCTGTGTGAGTCCTGTGGTGTTTAGAGAGATTCGACTTATCTTTAAAGCACCTCCCGCACACCTGACATGAATAGGGCTTGTCTTCCTTGTGGATTCTTCCGTGTCTGAGAAGATTGGCTTTGTCTCGGAAACATTTCCCGCACAGCGAGCAAGAATAGGGCTTCTCCCCCGTGTGAACCCGTAGATGGGTGAAGAGATGGGACTTCTGGGTAAAGGACTTCTCGCAGGCTGAGCACCCATAAGGTTTTGTCCGCGAATGAATTTTCTGGTGCAAAACGAGATGTGAGCTCTGGGTAAAACACTTGCTGCACTGAGAACACGGGTACAACTTCTCCACTCTGGGGCCACGGTGATCTGTATCCAGGTCATCAATGATACACACTTCAGGAGCAGAGAGGTCAGAGGATAGATCTTCACTGTGAGGTGCTGCGAGGAAACTTGTGCCATGGTGGTTTTCTATTGGAGAATCACATATGATGTCATCATCTTCGATTTCTCCATCTACAGTGATAATGGGTAGTTTATACTTCCTGTATCGTCCATCTACAGAAAATTAATAAAATAAAAAAAAAAAAAAAAAAAAAAAAGAGAAGCATATACTGTAAACAATTGGTGTCATATTCTGTGTATCCAAGAAAGAATACAGGACTTTCCTACAGCAATTCACTGAGCTGGCCACAACCAACTCTTGAGGGAGTCTATTCCACATTTCCAAAGCTCTTACTGTGAAGAAACCTTTCCATGTTTGGAGATTAAATCTCTTTTCCTCCAGACGTAAAGAGCGCCCCCTGTCATTCACATTTAACCCCTTGCCCTCCAGAGGATTGCCCCCTCTTCCTGACCAGGCCATTTTTTGTGTTACTTTAACTGACAATTGCACGGTCATGCAACGCTGCACTCAAATTAAATTTATGTCCTTTTTTTTCCCATGAATTGAGCTTTCTTTTGGTGGTATTTGATCGCCTTTGCGAGTTTTATTTTTTGCGCTATGAAAAAAAAAATCAAAAAACACGACAATTTTGAAAAAAACAAAACAAAACAATATTTTTGACTTTTTGCTATTAATGTCCAGTAAAAAAATTTTGAAAAATCAAATTTCGTCATCAATTTCAGCCAAAATGTATTCTGCTCTGTGTCTTTGCTAAAAAAAAAAAATCCCAATACTTGTAAACTAATTAGTTTACGTGAAAGTTATAGTGTTTTACAAATGGCGGTATAGATGCTAGGATTTTTTTTTTTTCGTACTAGTAATGGCGGCGATCAGCGACTTATAGCAGGACTGCAGCGGACATTCTGATACGGGGGGGGGGGCGGCAGACTTGATATCACTGACATGCTCAGTGCTAAAAAAAAGCACTTACACTGTACTAATGGCACTGGGCAGGAAGGGGTTAACATGAGGGGTGATCAAAGGGTTAACTGTGTGCAGGGAGTGTTTTACTGTGGGGCAGGGTCTGTGTGCTTCACTGTTATCACACTGCATTTGATGGCTGTGCTGTGCAGTGTGCCCGAGCTGACAGGGAGGTGAACTGTTAGTAAACAAAACAGTTCTCCTCCCTGTCGGAGATCCTCGGTAATCACCGGGCGCTGGCGCGTAATCACCGGCCAGAACCCAGTGACTGACAGCCGCAAATGGCAGTGTGGGTAGGGCTTGCGTGCTCCCCCCCCCTACCCGGAAATACAAAATCACATACGTACGTGTACGTGTACGTGTGCGTGTGCGTGTGTGTGTATGTGTGTGTGTGTGTGTGTATGTATGTATATGATTTTGCTCACCCTTGCCGCCCTGTAGCAATATTCCTGCTATAGGGCGGTCGGGAAGCAATTAAACCTGAACTCCAGGAAAACTGCTAAATACACAGATGATATATATAGATATATATATATACACACACACACATACAGCAGGTGGAATAGGTCTTGAACACGTCACCATTTGTCTCGGTAAATATATTTCTAAAGGTGCTATTGAAATGAAATTTTCACCACACATCGTTAGTAACCCATACAATCCATACTTACAATTTTTGAACTTAGAATCTGGATTTAGTGTTTATTACTCACCTATGCTGATCTCTGAGGGCATTTGCTCCTCCTCTTCGTCGCAGAGCTCACCACCCCTCATATGCGATTCTTCATCATCTTCAACTTTAATGACGATTAGGTTATCGCCCTAATGAAAGAAAACCACACCAACAACAAAGCATTAAACTGAGTTATTAAAGTCCAACTCTACTCAAAATTTTTTGAAATAAAGAGGGGGGATAGAACTTCTGTGGAGTTTTATTGCTGTGATTTCATCGAGAAGAATTCCCCTTCTTATCTCTGACACCAGGACAAGACACGAGGGAGCTGAGGGTCATTGGGACAAGAAAACGCAGACAGCAATTAAAAAAAAAGAAAAAGACAGAGGTTCCAACTAAAACAAAAGATAAAAGGTTTTTTCCAGAATTGGGCTCAGCATTTTAATACATACGAATTTCTCACCTGATAATGGTAAGTGATATTGTGACTAAGGTCTACAGCATCTGAGGAGGCCTTACAATCTTCCTGTGTGGAATCTTGGGAATCCAGAGGACGGGGACATCTCTCTGGGGGATTTCTGTTACTGGATCCATCTGTAGGAAACACACACACTGACTGAATAGGATTTTTGTTAGGGTTGAACCTGAACTGATGCCGAGTACTTGCACCAGAACTCGTACAAATGCTCCTGATACCTTTGCGGTAAAATTTGAGCCCATACAAAATGACTAGGCTCAAGTCGTACTGCAAAGGATTCTAACTGGTCAGCACCTTCACATGGACGGCGCTAAGCAATCCAAAGCTAACGCCTACCGTCAACACTGCAAGGAGAGGAGAGAAAGCCTCAGGGATCTGTGAAGTGGCTTTTCGTTGTCTGACAGTGGGAATCGGTAATCTGGTGCAGCGGGAGATGGAGGGGGTCCAGTGGATGGCTGGAACTGCTGGAGGCTGGGAGGAAGAGAGCCGCTGGAGGCTGAGGGAAAAGAGAGCCATGGGAGAGGCAGGAGGAGTCAAAGCCACAGCCGCTGATGTCCATAATGGGAAGCTGGTGGAACCCATCATGCAGGGAGGTTTCCTGCACCGCTCCTGTGTGAACTCGGGCTTAAGCCTGGGTTTAATGGTACAATTTTTCTGTAGGCGGCAATATAACTTGACTGTATCTGAATTCCATGTCCCTCAATGACAATAAGGAATACACTACTTCTATGACTTTATATCAGAGGATGTGTGTATCTAGGTGGATCTTCAATACAAGAAATGAAAGTCTCCTCTTACCCGGTGATGTGAGGGGCGGCTGGTCCTCCATCATGACGTCCTTCTACAGATCTTTGTGTCCTTCTATATATTCTCACTGCTCTATTGTTTCTATGTCTTTATATCAGAGGATGTGTGTATCTAGGTGGATCCTCAATACAAGGAATGAAAGTCTCCTCTTACCCGGTGATATGAGAGGAGGCCCTTTCTCCATCATGACGTCCTTGTAGAGATCCTTGTGTCCTTCTATATACTCCCACTCCTCCATGGAGAAATGGACAGTGACATCCTGACACCTTATAGGAACCTAACACACACAGAAAGATCCAGTCAACATTCAGATATATTCCTGTTTTTACTTGATGATGTCCCAGAATTCCTGGCACGACTCACCTCTCCCTTCAGCAGCTCAATGATCTTCTGGGTGACTTCTAGAATCTTCTTGTCATTGTTTCTCACAGGTATTAGGGAGAGAGGTTGGGGTTCCATGATGAACCTCTCTCTCCTGTTCCAATGTCTTGAGAGAGTGTGCCGACTGTTGGGTGTCATATGCTTGACAGATGTCTTCTTTACAATCATGTAATCCTGAGAGGTAAGAAACAAATTATTATCGCTTTAATTTAAAGTGATTGTAAAGTCTTCTTTTTTTTTTTTTTTCCTCCAATAACAAACATGTTATACCTACCTGCTCTGTGCAATGGAATAGCACAGAGTGGCCCCAAACCTCCCCTTCTTAGGTACCTTGCTGGCGCTCCTGGCTCCTCCCCCCTTCTGAGTGCCTCCATGACAAGTCACTTGCTACAGTGGCGCTCATGCGTACTTAATCCTGAGCTGTGCTGCCTGCGTCCATAGACTCAGACAGCGCAGCTTGGCCCAATCCCCCACTCCCTAGTCATAGGACTTGACTAACAGCAGCAGGCAACAAAGTCTGTGAGAGCGAAAAGAGAAGAAAGAGTTGAAGGGGGGCGAGGGGTGATACTGGTACCTAAATATTTTTTACCTTAATGCAAGGAATGCAGTAAGGTAAAAAATGTTTAGGCTCTAGACCCACTTTAACAACAATAAGTGAATCACACCCTGCAACTATCTGCTTTTCTTTGCTTTTAATAAAATATCCAGAATCCTCCTCACCTCTCTGGTCAGGTCTGTGTTTTATTAATAGAGATAAGAGGGATGTCATGTGACCTCCAGGAATCCTACTCACCTCTCCGGTCAGGTCTGTTTTATTAATAGACGTAAGAGTAAGTCATGTGACCTCCCAGAATCCTCCTCACCTCTCCTCCGGTCAGGTCTGTTTTATTAATAGAGATAAGAGTTTGTCATGTGACCTCCCAGAATCCTCCTCACCTGTCCGGTCAGGTCTGTATTTTATTAGCAGAGATAAGAGTGATGTCATGTGACCTCCCAGAATCCCCCTCGCCTCTCTGGTCAGGTCTGTGTTTTACTAATAGAAATAAGAGTGATGTCATGTGACTTCCCAGAATCCTCGCCTCTCCAGTCAGGTCTGTTTTATTGATAGAGATAAGAGTGTTGTCATGTGACCTCCCAGAATCCTCCTCACCTCTCCGGTCAGGTCTGTTTTATTAATAGAGGTAAGAGTAAGTCATGTGACCTCCCAGAATCCTCCTCACCTCTCCGGTCAGGTCTGTGTTTTATTAATAGAGATGAGAGTATCTCATGTGACCTCCCAGAAACCTCCTCATCCCTTCAGTTGGGTTTGCATGTATTAATACAGAACTAAACTCTGCAAGACACTCACCTCCATCTTCCAGCCAACCGCTGTCATCTTCTCCCTGGGCTACTTCTGGGTGCTTTGTTTTCTGCCTCCTGATTGGCCGGCAGGGGATGACATGATCCTGTGCAAGTGCATAGGAGCAAGTCATTCTGGCAAAACTGCAGTGTGTGCATGGGCAGCGTGCATTCAGTAGATGACTGTGAGCAAACAGGCAAATACATCCTATTACAGCAGAGACATAGGATGTCTCTTCTGAAATACAGAACTGCCTGC